CCACAACAGCACAGGGCAGGAATGAACAGATTTCAGGGATTGCTTCCCAGGGAAATGGGTAGGAAAAGGCACTGGGAAATAACGTTAAATTATAGAAATCAGAGAATGGTTGTGCTCTGTGGTTGTGGTTCCTCATCCATTGGGGGATGCCACCTCTCCTCCTGGAGCCCACCATGGAAATCATGGGATCACAGAATGGTTTGGGTGGGAAGGAACCTTCAACTCCTCCAGTGCCACCCCCTGCCATGGGCAGGGACACCTTCCACCAGCCCAGGTTGCTCCAACCTGGCCTTGGACACTTCCAGGGATCCAGGGGCAGCCACAGCTTCTCTGGGCAACCTGGGCCAGGGTCTCCCCACCCTCCCAGGGAAGGATTCCTTCCCTATATCCCATCTATCCCTGCCCTCTGGCAGTGAGAAGCCATTCCCTGTGTCCTGTCCCTTCATCCCTTGTTCAAAGTCCCTCTCCAACATCTCCTGAACCTCCTAGGGGTCCGAGTTCAAAGCTTTTCTCCCGGATCAGGTGCTCTCACAGGAGCATCCCCAGCCCTGGAGCTGGGCACAGCAGGCACCAGCTCTCCGGGGTACAGCACCTGGACGGGGAATTCTGTGCTGGCTTCTCCTTATCCCACTTTGCTGCCCAGCTGGGAGAATGGATTTGCACAATGGACACAGGGTGGGATTGTTGGGGTGTCCTGTGATCCCCGGGGGTCCCGTCCAACCGTGGATACTCCACGATCCCACGATTCCCTCTGCAATCCCTCCCTGTTCCCGGGACCCTCCGCCGGGTTCCTGTGCCAGCCCCTGCACTGGCAGCGCTCGCACATGAGGGAGCACTGCGGAGTTGTGGAAACTCGGTCTGGCACAGCTTTGGCGAGCGCTGCGGAGTTGTGGAAGCTGCTCTGGCACAGCTTTGGCGAGCGGGAACCCCCCGCGCTGGCCCCGCACAGCCCCCGGGCCGCCCCGCACAGACACACGGACACGCTGCGGGTGATGCTGGAGGCGTTTATTTGGAGGTCACGGTCCGAGGGGTCCCCCGGGACATCCCCCCGTGCTCGGGGGGCTCCTGCCCTGCCCGGGGGGCTCAGTGGTACCTGCGGGCCAGGGCGTGAGCCACGACACCCACCAGCTTCTGCCAGGCGAACTGGCAGGCGGGGGTGAAGTCCCTGCCGAAGTGGGAGGCCAGCACGATGACGAGGATGTCTCCGAGGAGCTGGAGGAGGAGGAGGAGGACAGGCGGGGTCAGTGCTGCTGTGCCACAGCCCGCCCGGAGCTCGGGATGTCCGCGCTGGACCCGCCGCGGAGGCTCCGCTCCCTCCGCTCGCTGCTCCGCTCCCTCCGCTGCTCCAGCCCCGTGTCCTGCCGTGCCTTTGGCTCCCAACACCTTCTCCTTTTATTTCTCCCCGGTTTTCCTGCTGCAGATTTCCCCCCCCATCCCAGTCCCTCTCCTTCCCGCCCGCCCCCGACACCACCCACAACCCACGGGCTGTTTCCTTGCCCTGATTTCTCCCCGAGGCTGAATTCCCCTCCTGCACGGACCCTCACACGCTGCACACTCCTCCTCCTCTCCCTCCCCAGCCCCCTGCCCCATGGGGTGCCCCTCGGGCTGTGGGGCTGGGTATGGGAGTGTCTCTCCCTGTGCCCCGGGAGTGCGACAGCAGAACCCTCAGCCTTTCCACGGACAGCTCTGAGCTTTTGGAAAACAACATTTGCTGCATTCTTAAATATAAAATAAAAACAGAAGGAAAGAACCTTGAAAACATTAGAGCAATTTGGCCTGAGAACCACCCTAAGAAACTGTGGGTTTTTTCTTTCTCTTTTTAGGTCTAAATGAAGACCATGATTCATTTGCATTTGAGAGTGTTGGAGGGGTGGGGAGTGTCCCACCCTTACTCCGGGCAGGACCCTGCTCTGTGGTTCTGCTTATCTTGCTGTAGGACCTTGGATTTTCTGAAATGCCCTGCTGAGCTTCCCTCTGCCTCCTCCTCCTCCAGCCCACGCTGCACCTTCCCCTGGGGTCTTTCCCCAGCCAGATCCCCTCCAGGTGACCCTCTCCCAGTATCTGCCCCTCCCCAGTGCTGTGCTGGCACTACAAGTGGGACTTTTTGGGGTGAAGTCCCCCAGGCTGTTGCAAACAGCCCTGCACAAGCTGCCACCTCTGCCTGGGACACGGGGACTCTGCCCCCACCACCCGGGCAATGCCCCCGGACAGGGTTGTTTGAAGCAACAGCAAAACCTGCCCAGGGCAGGGGCTGGGGCAGCAAACACGGCTCACCCTGAAGTTCTCGGGGTCCACGTGCAGCTTCTCACAGTGCAGCTCCGACAGCTTGGAGTAGGTGCCCTTGATGTTGTCGAGGTTCTTGACGGCGTCCCCGAAGGAGGTGAGCACCTTCTTGCCGTGGGCTCGGACCTTGGG